AATCAAAATTTTCATAATATGACGAAAATATTAAATATTTTAACAAAATATTCCGATTAATCACGATTTATCATTCTGATTTATCAGCGATTTTGAAAAACTCGTTCTGTCTATCATAATCACGATTAAACATCAATTAATCAGCGATTTCGCTCTAAAATATGATTAATCGCAATTTTACGCCGATTTTTTTGAAAATCACAAAAATCGCGGTGATTTTCTCGACATGGGATGTTTCATTATATTCCTTTGATGATGTGTATCTTGTATCCTGTAATATTTTATTTTATTATGATCTTCATTGTTCCTTGTGACATTCCATTGAAATTCACGTCCAAACAATGTGGTCGATATTCATGCGTTACTCGTATTCCTCAGATTTCATTATATGACAGTGTTGCACATAGTATTTTACCTGCATTTACGATTGTTATATTTAGTGCAGCACTTTTCGTACGTGTTCTATGTCAAAAACACCGTATCCATCAAAGAATCAACTGGAGAAATTATAAGAAAATGGCATATCAATTACTTCCAATATCTTTCCTTTACACTGTTTTAGTATTACCTCCGATGATGATCTATGCCGCTTATTCAGGTGGCTTACCACGAACTGTGGCGCCCGACTATTACAGCGACGCAATCTTTTTTGTTCACTGGGTTATATTCTTCACTCCATTTGCATGTGTCATGTCATTACCGGAATTATCAACTAAATGTCGAAATGCAATACTATTTTGGCATAGACGACATACTGTGGGTCCTATACAACTGTTAACTGCAAGTCGTCCAAATGCTCATCAATAGATGCACAAGACAACTACGAACACTTAGTGTTTAATACAGGAGGGAACGGATCTAGAACATGAACAAACGCTCTTATCAATTGATTTCCTAGAGACATTGGACATTCCCATGCAGATGTGCATACAAAAGCGAGATGTTCTTCTTTTTCTTTATTATCGGTAGAACTCAACGAATCTTTTCATGAACAAACATCTTCCTAAAATAAAATCTCGGTCTATGTCTTGTAGTCACACCTGTGTTTACTGATGAAATCGACCCGAGGGGTCGCTGTAACTATAATAAAAAATCTTATTCAGTTGTTGTATGACATAATACATCCACACTTTTATTTCTTCCTGCATGAAACATAAATAGATATGTTCTCAGGTTTTTTTCTTCATCTCCATCTGTAATCAAAGATATCCAACTATCTTATCGCTAAACGACGTATACCCAGCTCATCTTCTGTATACCAAGAACACATATACTTGGTGTTATTTATTTGTAATTAGACAAGAAATAATTTAGAAAAATAGATTGCCAAGGTTTCAACTGGGAAAGATCTTTTCATGGTAGCTAATCGTCTCTTGTGAGAACTGAGAGTAGATAGATTTTGGTTAAAGAAAAGACCTAGCATAATCACGAATCATAGGAAAAATCGAAAACTCTACACATAATTGACGTCGTGCACATAGGAAAAAAATTAAAAACTATTTCGTAAAAGATCTTAATACAGTGAGAGTGTACAAAATCTGCCCATTATCTTTTATTTAATACACATAAATATTTCGCTTTGTTCCGTTATTTGATGCACAATTGATATTACTAATTTTGCTTCTTCTAATATATGAAACATTCCAGTGTAATTACCACCAAACTTCTACTAAAAGAATGTAATCACACAGCATCAACAATCCTTCTCGATGATAATAAATCAAATAAAAAATAATATAACAGATATATTAAATTTTTTTCCTGGTAGAGTTTGTTAGTTGATTAGAGTGCAGAATAATTGAAATCTCCCAAAATTTTCAGTTCAGTCCAAATATTTTGAGCTTGCTGATAGATTATCGGTGTTTGTCGTTTAATTTCGAAGTTCTGAATTTGAACGAAAGTTCGACGACGTGGTTCATTATGATTATTGTAATAATATGATTGATTCATCATTTGTTCACAATATTGTTGCAACATAGCACACTGTTTCGAATAGTTTTCGTAGATCCATACAAGAAATACTGGATAGTTTAACATCTCACGAGTTTTCCAGTGGAAATCGTACGAGCGAAAAAACAGAGAGTTTAATTGGACTGGATATTTTGAGCTGATCTCAAATAGTCGAGGATCTACATCTTGCTGTTGTTGTATATAACGTTGAAAATTTTTTTCACTAATAAATTTCCATTGTAGTTGTAATATACCATCGTCTAGCCATCCGAAAGTTGTGCGATGGGCGAAAGTAGGAATTAAATAAAATATTTTCGTTGGGTTCCAATCAGGTTTGATTCTCTTATGTGAATATCTGCTAACATCGTTAATATCCGATTCCAAGTACTTTTCGTTGACTTTCGATGGAATGGTGCATCCCAATAGTTTATCATAACGAGAATTTAATCCAAAAAATGACAAATAACGATCACCAATAGAAAGATATCTCGTTATGATAATCTGCAATTCATTTGGTAATGTTTCCAGATCAGTAGAAGTCATCTGTGGATGCTAAATAACCTGTATTAGATAAAAAAATCTGAAACATTAATAGCAATACGCAGTAGAAACTTCCGAAGATCTTCATCAGTATGTTTTAACCAAAACGCTGTGAAGTCTAAGATCTTAACTCGGAATGTAAAATCGATGATGCAAATTCATATTTTCAATACAAGTTGAGATCATAGCTATACCAGCAAAATGCATTTGTTACGAATCAATTCGACGGATAGTTTCTCTATATAAGTATGTAGTAGAATGATGCAATTTTTGTAAGGATGACGACATGAATTGAGCAAGAATTGATACAATTTGCATCAGACAACATCTCCTGGCCGTGGGTGAGGGATGTAATAAACGATTCAATATTCAGATCGATTGAAAAGAGAATTCCTCCTTTTCCCCTTTTTTGAAAGAAAGGGTTATACAAAGTTTAAATGCTGTGCTAAAAAGCTTTAAGTTCGTCTGTCTGTCCTATCCAATCAGAAATCAGCATTTCTAAAATCAATGAAATTGATCGATAGTTGTTAGAAAATGATTACCGGCAGGGTAATCGAGGTCGGGGAACTTGAATCTGAGGTTAGTTTTAATTAATTATTAACTAATAATTAAATATCTGTCAACTAGACATAGATTATTAATATGCAGGGTAAGGGTTGAACGAAGGGTAATCGGGGTCGAGGATCACGAATCCGAGTTTAGTGTTGATTAATTAATTATTAGCTTTTCATTAACTAGTCACGACTTATTAACATTCATTGTCAGAGTAGACCGAAGGATTTCTGACGTCGGGAAATTCGAATTTGAGGCTGAATTTCGTTTTATTTGCTGACCATGGGCTTAGTCCTTCCTCTTTACAAAGGTGATATTTTTCTTTATCTGTTCTAAAATCTTTTGTAGAAGATGGTGAGCTGAACGCTCTTCACGGATGTCATGTGTACAAAGATAGTAGCTCAAGAACTTACACGAAAATATCTAATGCATTGTACATGATGATGCTTCTAATTCAAGAAATCCGGAAAAGTGATATGAGCTTACGTTAGTATCATTTTTGCTTTTTAGGCTACATACATCATGTCTTTTTATGGGAATTTAGTAGAAGCAGTTCGCAAAGTGATATAGCCGTCGGTGGAATTCCATCTTAGTGATTACAGACGCGTGGACTATACAAACAGTATTCTGAACACATGCAGCGCTATGAGAGATGTTAGTTTCGAAGCAAATCATACAATAAGACTTTGTTATCTAGTTCCTTTTGGTAGTCGAATGAATAGAAGATCATGACTGTCGAAGCGACAATAAAAGAGAACCCAATCGTTCGGTTTGAAAGTTGATCAGAGGCGAAAGGAATAATAGAGACAGCATCGCAGCGGCTAGTCGTGAGTGACCGACTGACTAGGCGTTTAAAGGCTAGATTAATCCTAAAGTGTACGCTTAGAATAACCTTGCCAGGCTTCAGATAATTTTGAAAGGGATTTGGCGAATGGATATTCCTCAATGAAAATATTCGGCAGCGTATCATTTGGTTGACAGGAGAGAAAAGAATCGGTTTATCGCTGGGAGGCACAGCCGAATGTTCAAACTTTTCAAGTAGTCTACTGTATATCGTCCGTCTATGAGTGACTTAGTAAAGCATTTATGAAAATTTCCATGCGCGTGATGTGAAAAAAGAAAAACAGATGACAAAGATCAATGGTTGGCCGTGAGTGACCGTCTGACTAACCGTTGAGCGATGAATTTTTTAGTCAACATAGTTAGCGCTGGAGAATTATCCACTGACAAATGGCTAATCGGTCTGATTCCTCAAAGGACTTTTGCATCCTATTCATTCCAGTGTGTGACATAGTGCCATGATTCAGTTGAGCACTAGTAGCAACCGAATAAATAAAAATTTTAAAAGAAATTGAAACCACACATAAAAATATCAGACTAACAACAGCATTAGAAATCAAAAAGATTATTAAAGACCTGAAACTGAAAAAGTCGGTAGGTCTAGATGACATTTCAAGCTTTATGATTAAGCGACTTCCACCAGCGTATATAGAATGTTTATGTACATGCTTTAATGAGTGGCTGGGTACATTTCAATACTTAGAGGAATGGAAAATAGCACGTATCATAACATTAAACAAATTCAAAGCAGGAATCCCCAGGAAAGGAGGTTTATTACAAACAAGAGTGTTATCAGTTTACCAAGAAGTAACGAATAATTTAGCAGGAAATGTGCCGACGATGAACGTATATGTAGATTACAAGCAAGCCTATGACATGGTATGGCACATGGGACTAATCGTAAAACTTTATAGAGCACAAATACCAGTAGAACTGTTAACAGTTGTTATTAATTGGTTAGAAGCAAGAAAAGCATAGATCAGTTTTGGAAACGAAAAGTCAGACGTCTTCTCTACGTACATAGGTCTACCACAAAGAAGTTCTCTAGGTCCCTACATTTTCATAATTTTTCATGCTGATATTGTAAACTGTGTGGGAGCGTTCTCCACACACATATTTGTAGATGATCTTAGCACACTAATTGCTCCTCCTATGAAAAAAAAGTACCAAGATATGATCAGTTTCATTAACTTAGCAGGGTCTCAAGTCTGTCAGAATCTCTTTGACTATTCAATTAAATGAAAATAACCAATAAATATCTCCAAGACAGTAGTACAAACATTCCACTCACAAGTCAAACCACCAGTAGTAGAAATCAAGATGAATAGTAGAAAACTAGAAGATGTTAAAACCTTCAAATATTTAGGTTTCAAATGATCTAATAAGTTATCACTAAAACTAACGGTTGATGCATGTCCTGAGAACGTACAAAGATCTTTCGGGAAACTAAAATGGCTTAGTAAGAATAAGCAGACATCCACAAAAATATTGAGAATATGTTTCTTCCCATACTCATTCCCATTCCTACCATGGTTATTTCCATTTTTTCCACTACTACCAGGTACCCAACTGGAATTGATAAAAAGGAAATACCGCGTAGGACTCCGTTTAATACACAGATGTCCATTTGTTTCAGCTAATGATATATATAATTTCACAAAGGAGAAACCAATCGAACTATATGTCAGTAAATATCTCCAAAAAAGACTATCGAAAGCTCACAATACTGATTTAGGAAACCATATATGAGGGAGGTAAATAAACAGGGAAGAAAGCAAAAGAGTTTAGGGCTAGAACAATTTCAAAGACTACCAAGAATTAAAAATATGAAAGAAAGGCAACAATCTTACCTGGTAACCTGGATTGCATTTATTGAAAAATTCAAGAAGAAGAAAGAAAAGGAAGAAAGGAAAGAGGAGAAATAACGGGAAAGGGGAAGAAGAAAGAAACAGATTGTATAAAAGAATACTAGAAGAATAATAGAATAACTGAAAGTGTACGTGAGCACATGCACAGAATGGATAGTCTTATCTTACAGAGCTACTCTCACACATAGATAAAGAAATAAACAGTACAGAGAATACAACACATTGGATTAAATAACTTAATACAAACAGGTTAGAGTATACAAACTTGATCGTTATACATAATGCTAAGCTCATTCCAAATTAACGTGTTATTCTTAATTGTTACGGGGATAGAAGTGGATGCATTAATCTCCCTCTGGTAACAGAACTGCAAAGTTCATGCTGAACTGAAGAAAGTGATCCAAAGGCAAGAAAAGTTCAACAGTAACAATTGGTCTCATTGGGGATTAGTAGTTATTTTATTGTCAATGGGATTAGTACTGGTAGTGGGTGTTATATATATATATATATATATATTTATTGTCAGCTGATGTCGATCTTACGTATTGCTCGTACAAGTAGGAGAGCAAATCAACCTATAGCTCAGAATGGTACTCCATATAATAATAGCAATAGTAATCCACCATACACAGCTCAACGTGTTTCAAGTCATTGGAATGGAGGGCAGGATGAGTATCCCAATAAGAACAATATGTTTAACAATAATATCTTACACGTATAGGCAAAGCAATCGCAGTCAAAATAGTACAATTATTTAAACATTTGAAACAATAAACACTTGCAAGGCAAGCGCATGGCTAGAAGCATTTTTCTTTCTCACTTTTCTTTTTCTTGTTTGCCGTTTTTTCATCTTCCTTCTCCTTCAATTTATCCGTTAAAACAAAACGAGTGAAATATGTAATCCACAAATAACTTGTAAAATTTTCTTTTTGCTTAATTCGCACTTGTAACTCTTGCTAAAGTTGTAGCTTGGGTAGCCTAATACGCAATTATATTAATTGTAAGTGCTCCCGAGCACAAGAGTCCCCCCCCCCCCCCCCCCAAAAAAAAAAAAAAAAAAAAAAAAAAAAAAAAACGAG